TATGACTTCTGTTTTGTTTGCCTTTGAGGTTGAATAGTGGAGGTGCTGGAACATGATTGTTCCTTCTGCAAGGCGAATGGTCAGGAAGCATTGGGCTGCCTTCTGAGACAGTAGCCTCTGCTTAGGTTAACTCTGCACACAGTGTTTAACCTTTCTATAATCCTTCGTCTCCCAAATAAGCAAATGCTGTTGGGGCCCTTTGCTAAAGTCAGTAGAGGAGAATCTATAGCTCCACAGATCAGCCAGGGGGAAGGTTTCCTAAGAGTAACAAATCTTTTCAGTTGCAACATGCTTTTTCTAGAAGCTTTTTGTCATTCTGGCAGTAAACTTGTTTTCTGCTTGCTGCCTTAGCAACAAGACCTGAAGTCACTCCCCCTCCAGTCTATGGTTTGATTATAAGAGCACTACCATTATACCCAGAGCTAGAAAAAAATTTTATACTGGAGAAACACACAGATATTACCTGCTTCTTGGGTTAGGAAATTATTTACGTACATTCTTAGTATCTTCTTAAAGGAAAAGGTCAAATAGATTTTGGAAATGGTACATTCAAACCCAGAGGAATCCCAAATCTCTGGTAAATGTTGTAGCTAAAGATCTTGTTGGGGGCCTGCCTCTGGCCACAATAAGGAACAGTGTTTCTCCTCAGAGTTCTCCATGGCTACTTAGAGGAAGAACCAAAATGTTAAGGATCCCTTCCTGTGCACCAGTCTTAGGCTAACTCTAGTTTTCAGGATTCTTTGTTTAACTCAAGACTATAAAGTTCAATTTGAGAATTTAAAACTTTGTTTACCAAAGAATAGAATTCTGATGGATTTTGGCTTTAGTAGATCTCTTAAGAACTCATTTAAATATTTCTTACCAAATTCTGTTTTATCTTGGAGTGGAATGTGCTCAGTACATAAGTTAGGTGAACATATAACAGAGGCAAAGGCCATGAGCATGCCACTGCATTCCAGCCTGGTGATGGAGTGAGACTCCAACTCAAAAAAAAGAAAAAAGAAAGAATCTCCAAAAGATGTATTCACTGAAACCAAACACAGCCTCTCACAACAGTGGTAGCTGGTACACTGATGCCAGTGGGTTCCTAGAATACTTACCTAGTAGAGGAAGCCTGTACTACAAGGGCCCTCCCTCCAAAAAAAAATTCCAGGTTTTTTTGGGACCTCTCTCATATATTGTAATAAAAGTTGTGTGATTACAGTTTGTCTCTCTTTCTCTCTAAAAATATCTTACCGTACTATGCTGCGGGTAACTGAAACCACAGAAAAAGAAACCATGGATAAGGCATACTACTGTACTCTCCCAGACAACCAGCATTCTCAAAGTACAAACCAAGAAATTTTGCATCCAACAATCTGCTCTTTGAATATCCTATTTAATGATATCCTACTCTGCCAAGCAATGCATTAGATATTTTGAATACTTACCTCATTAAATACCCTGTAAAGCTTATGTTATTGACTTCATTTTATAGAGGAAGAAACTAAGGTTCAAAAACATTTTTTAAAAATTTTTCCTAGGTGATCCATCTAATTAAGTGATGGAGCTAGACTACACCTGATTCTGTTGGACTCTAAAACCCTGTTGTTCTAGAACTCTCGAGTGCCTTTCAGTATTAGAGTACTGTTCTTGGAGGGTTTAGTCTTTGTTTTCTTAAAGAAGATAGAATCTCATTCACCCACAATCTTATAGCTCCTAGAAACTTCTGTATTGAAAAATTCTGTTCTGAACTGTGTTCAATCTCTAGGCTTTGTCAGCCACTTGAAGACAGCTAACATAGGGAAGGGAGGAGAAAATGGGAAACAGACTGTTACACTAGGGCTTGTGTGGACAGAATTCATCCTCGTAAGAAATGGCCAATCTGTTGCATATCTGCCTTCCTCGGCACTGTGTAAGTTTTAATTATCTTCCAACTGTCTGAGCTGCTGTTGAGGACCTTAGCAAGAACAAAGGATATCTGTTATGTTTTTTAGCAGTTTTCCTCTCTACATACTGATGAAGTCACTAACCGTCACTGCCCTTATTATCGGGTTAAATCAGAGTCTAACTTGCATTGGAGAGAGAATACTGAAAAGAAAAAAAAAATCTTAAACTTTACCTGTTATTCTAAATCTCTTGTAACAGAGAAAATGTGGTATCCACTTCTCTTATTTAGATGCTATGACCCAGAACTAAGTTTTGTTTTGTTTTTCCATAAAAGTAAACAGAAAGAGAGGACTTTCTTCCATCCCCATACCTTGGATTTTTAATAACTCAGGTGGTAATAACTTCTTTTACCTTTAGGATACTCTACTGTGAGCCCCAGTGAGGAAATGTGCGCTCATGATCAAGGATAATCCCTGTGCTGCCTCTTCCTCTCCAGGCATTGCACGTGGATCAGGGCACTCCTGGAGCTGGGCAGGGCCTCTGAGTCTTAATACACAACTTCAGGCTGCTCTACCAGTCCGGGCCAGTCGTTGAAGCCTGTTTGCAATTTCTAGTCTAGATTATTAGTTTAGGAAAAAGTCCAGAATATCTACAACTTTTTGCTTGAGAAAAAGGAGCATGGCTTCTTTCTTTTGATGTTACCATTTTTTAAAATGTATATTTGAATTTAGAGCTTCATGCCATTTTTGTAAATTATGCTATAATTTTGTAGAGATTTAGAAAGTATTGTAGAACTAGAATAATTAAACTTGTTATGAGCGTTACATATAGCAGACTAATCAAAAAGTGTGATATACAGTAGTGAATTGCTAATTTGACCTCAGGATTATGCAGCAGAGATAACATTATCTTCATTTATATCGAACTTTTTATCTGGAAGCATTTCTCAGTGCTTTTCCAACCATATATATTGCTTTGTTTATTATCACAAACACTATCATTAAGGCTGTAAAATGTATTCCAGTGCAAATTTTTATTTTCAGTTTCTTATAACTGGGGGGTGATGGAAGAGAAGGTCGCATATTTTCTCCTATTCCTGGTATTTGCACTGGGTAAAATTTGGGAACTGACTATTGTCTAAGCTTGGAAAGCGTGTTTCCATATAATGTTTTAAAAGGAAAGAAAGGGAGGTAAAGAACATCACCACAGCCCCTTCGGTCAGCCCCTTTGGACTATATTAACCTTAAGAACCGCCAGTGAGGAACGGCCCTATTCACTTTCTGGATCTTCTGTGAACAGTGAGAGCACGGTCTCTTCTTTGTTGGAGACTTGACCTAGGGAAGAGGAAAATGATCTGATCAAATTCCACTAAGTCACATTCCCTCTATTCCTTCCAAGGTTACAGACAACAGCGCTCAGGCTGTCACAGCCCTGTGCGGTTGAAAATGCTATGCTGGTTGAGTTCCTGTGGGTTTAAGGAAATGAACAAAATTAGATTCAGGCCAAGGTGCCAGATTTAACACACCCCTTCCCTTCCAGCAAGCACCAGAGATGCTGTCACTGCCAACAGTAAAGGACAACATAATCTGTCCTACCCAGACCATTAAGAACTTACTTTAAACGAACCCACCACCCACCCAAACCCAGTAAAAAAGCGCCTCCCATCTACCCTGAGGACTTGAAAGAAGAGATGTGGGCCAACTTCCTCTTAACCAGAGGACTCTGGTACACGTAGCAGTGGCCCTGATTCTCAACACAGGAAGAGTGCTATCTCCCTGCAGTGGATATTAGCATACTGAGCAACCAATTCAGGAGATAGCATTAATATTGGTTATGAAGATGAGTGATCAGCTCGTGTAAAGGAGCAGATGGCTCAATGAGGTGCACGGGGAACGCCATGAGATTTAGGCTTGAAGAAACAGGAGGGAAAATAGCCCTTGATATAAAAACCCCAGATATAGTCTCCTTAATGGGAATTTTCTAAATCGACATTTACATTATACAGTTAACTTGGAGTGATGAGAAATGTAAGGAAATTACTGAATTAGTGAACAGCGATTAACTCAGAAGTAAAATTAGATCATCTAAATGGAAGGTTGTTTTACACAGCAGAGGGGATGATATAACTAAAACCTTGCCCAGTATGTCATATCCTAATTGAAATCTGTTGATTTAATATAATCCATCCTTCAGAGTGCATAGTTCATAATTTTGGAGAATGTTATCAGTTAATCTAGTTATTTTTCCTGGTTCTACCTTTGAATTCCAGTAAGACAATGTGTGGCACATTCCCTGTGGAATTGTGTGACACTCAGAAGAGTGAGTTTGTTCATTAACCTGTGAACTGTCAGGTTCCTTTGGAGAGTGAAGAGAGCAAGTTGCTCCAAGGTTAATGCTTGTTTGTCGGAGATAAAGCCTCCAGGGAGCTAGAGGATGAACAGGCCAAGATGCTCAAGGCCTGCCCAGTGAAACTCTGCACTCTGTGCAGATGCCAGATTCATGTGGCCAGGAGTGAGACTGCAGAGCAGGCTGGGCCATCTCTGCACATCACTTCCTCTGGTCAGGAGAAGGCTTCCCAGCAGCCAAGTGGGGGGCTGGCGTAAGTATGTAAGGTTAACTTCCTAACAAGGATTTAGGAGCAATATTAAAATTAAAGAAACTATGAATTGTTTTCAGTAGTTTCTGTGAATTTTTTCTTTTAAACAAGAAAGAAATATTCATTTCATGCATTTGTCTCCAATGGATGAAATTTTCCATTGAGTTGGAAAGCATTTGATTTTACCTCTATTTGTGTACATGTGCAGAGGCACATTCCTAACCATAAGATGAGGGGAGAAGCTGTTTGTTATTCTCCAGTATCAGTGACATTCAGGGGTGAAATGAACAGTACCTGGTTTGATTTTCTAGGTAAATCAGATCTAAGTACTGCTTAATTCTCGGGAAGTGACAGCTCTCTAATTTTACTATAGTTCTAAGCTTAGTGGGAGCTACCTCTAAGGAGCAGGTACAGGGTCTGAAGTCAAGTTCAAAATCTCCTTTAGTCCATGTCTTGGTACATTTTATGTTTAAGTGATGTATCTCCTTCTTCTGTTATTCTTGGCTTGGTTGTGGCAGAAACTCATTTTCAACAGATTTTCTTTTCCTTTTACTCTCAGGTATATTCGGATTGTTGGGACTCACAACACAGTGAACAAGATTTTTCACATTGTGGCTTTTGAATGTATGTTTACAAACAAAACTTTCACTCTTGAGAAGGGCCTGATAGGTAAGTATTACAATTACACATTTGCATATTAGGTATTTTACCTTCAAATATTTTGTTATTTCATTAACTCATTTTAATCAGCTCTAAGGACTCTGGTTTGCATGTCTTATGGCTGAGTGACATTGGGAATACCTTACATTTTTAGAAGTTATCAAAATAACAATTTTAGTAAACTTTAAAAAATGAATATAAATGTTGTACTAGTAGTTAAGAAGTGAAAATATTTCAGTGATTCACCCAGATTAGTCTTGTAGGGACTGTTTATGATAGTCAGACAAAGCCTTTCACACCAAGGGCTTTTCTATATTTAATGGTAGGTTAGTTCAGGAAGGAAGTCTGTATAATATTGATTGGATGTTCACACTTTCCAAGGCAGTGCAGGTATTTTGGCCTTGGATTTGATACAACTGGTATGCTCAGTATGAGAGTATCTTCTTTTCCTGAACACATGAATTCCTATTTGCCCGGGATGGCCAAGTTCACCTCAAGAAAGTACCTGCATATGATTTAAATAAGACCAAAGTGACTGAATTTTCATTGTAAACATCAAGTTATTGGGCAGGAAATACCGTCTAACTGATCTTTGGAAAGGGTATTTTTAATTTTGGTTTACTAGTTTGCTTGCTTGTTTTCTGTTGTGTTTTGCTTTTGTTTCTGTTTTAGTTGATGTTTAGTCTAGACATTATGTACAGTTCCATCCCAGGTCTTGACATTCTAAATGCCCTGAGTGGCTTTTCCCATCTAAAGTTAGTCTAGACATTATGTACAGTTCCATCCCAGGTCTTGACATTCTAAATGCCCTGAGTGGCTTTTCCCATCTAAGGTGGTCATTCCACTTCTTTTGTTCCCATGCCCACAAGTTTTTACTCATCTGCTGTAAAGATCATGTAAAGATCTTATATGTGTGCCTTTACGGGAGCTTTCTTTGAGAAGGGACTCGTGTGTTCAGGTGGGGAGATGAGATGACTAAAAATTCTGTGCATTTACCAAGGGACTCAGGTCTTCTCTCCTTTTCAAGTTCTGTCCATATCGGGACACATGTTCATACTAAAAACATGGTAGTAACTATCCTGAAAACTATAACTAATTCTTTGAATGATCCGAGCCTAAATTTTGCCAACTCCTGCTGTGTCTAAAACATAATCCTTCATTTATGGAAATTTGAGAGAGTAATAGTAATAAAGTAGCAGGCGTGGAGTTGTTTCTGATGTATAGAGTTTTTAGAGCTCAACTAAAATAATTACTTTTGTTTTAATTTTGTTATGGTTGTAATTTTAATATTAAATATAACTGTTAATAATTTTTATGACTGTTGAGTAATTTGAAAATTAACAAGTTTGAAGCATTACCTAATTTTTTAAAAACAATATTAGAAGCCAGGCTCGGTGGCTCAGCCTGTAATCCTGCGCCTTTGGGAGGCTGAGGTGAGTGGATTGCCTGAGCCCACGGGTTCAAGACCCGCCTGGGCAGAGAGACCTCATCTCTACAAT